TAAAGCTAAAGCTAATGCTAATGCTAAAGATAAAGCTAAAGCTAGGGGGCGCAACTGGGGGAACCGCGGGGCGGATGCCGGGGGAACCGCCCGGGGCGGGCAACACTGCCCGGCCCCTTTAAGTTAACCGAGTAAGAACCCTTCTAGGCAGAGCCTAGGTAGGGAAAAATAGTCTAGGGACTATGTTTTCAGTATTTGTTGACCTTTTTGGTGCATGTTTGGGGTACTTTTCATTTTTCGTCGAAGATCCCCCTATAGGGGGACAGGCCCGACATAACAGTAGCCCCGTTCGTGCAGGGGCGAGTCGTCGAGAAGGCAGGCTGGGTTGCCGCCTCGTGTGGTGGCATTGAGGGCATGCCCAGGTTTACGTAGGAGTCGCCGGGGAGGGCGGAGTCCGTGGTCCGTGGGCCTGCGGTACCTGTGGCAGTTGATAGATTGAGTCTGACATGCAGGATGTATTCCGTGGCCCATCTGCGCAGCGCTCGGCTCTGGGGTCGTACACCACCACCACTACCTCTACCACTCCCGAGTTCGGCGCACGACCTCGGAGCGGAACGTTACGCAGATGGGCCACTGGCTGTGCTGGTACATGAGTTCTGATTATTGGCTCTCTTTGGTCTGTTTGTTGTCTTGAATAGCGCTGGATAGCTGGTGCGGCTTAGCTAATCGCACAGAGGGGGGTCCTGCGAGTCCCATGTGTTTTGTCCTCTCTTCCTTGTTGTCCTCCTCTTCTTCCTCTTCCTCGTCCACCTTTTTCCTCTCTGCATTGAGGGTCGCATTTTCCACATGCTTGGTGGGGGCGACAACGGCTTTCAAGTGCAACCGCTGCCTGTGTACCATGCATCTCTTGTCATATCAAGATGTGCTTTAGCCAAGCTTTTGTCGCAATTCTGTGCGATACCTAATGTTGTCGCTCGAACTTGCCACTCGCACATCAGGTCCCTCCTCGCTCTCCTCCTCCGCCTCGTTCTCCTCTCTCTGGGCGCTGCGAATGTCCGTTTCCACGCGCCTGGTGAGGAAGAAAATTGTTATCCAGCGCAGCCGCTGTCGTTGAGTCCCTCTCCTCGCCCTCCTCGCCCTCCTTGTTCTTCTCGCCCTCCTTCCCCTCTTCGCCCTCCTCCCCCTCCCTCACCCCTCCCCTCGCCCTCCTCCCCCCCCCGCCCCTCTCTTTGCCCTCCTCGCCCTCCTCGTCCTCTCGCCTTCGTCGTCCCCTCGCCTCCCTCGTCCCCCCCTCGAGGAGGAGGAGGAGGAGGAGGAGGAGGAGGAGGAGGAGGAGGAGGAGGCGTAGTAGTAGGAGGAGGAGGAGGAGGAGGAGGAGGAGGAGGAGGAGGAGGGAGGTAGGGGAGGGGAGGAGAGCGAGGAGGAGGCAAGAGGAGGAGGAGGGGGAGGAGGCGGAGGAGGCGTAGGAGGAGGAGGAGGAGGAGGAGGAGGAGGAGAGGAGAAGAGGGGAGGCGTAGGAGGAGGGGGGAGGAGGCAGGATGAGGAGCCATGAAGAAAGGCAGGAGGAGGAGGAGGAGGAGGAGGGAGGAGGAGGAGGAGGAGGAGGAGGAGGAGGGTGAGGAGGAGGAGCCCCCCCTTGCCCGCCTCGCCCCCCCGCCCCACGCGAGGCGGGGCCTCGAGCGGCGAGGGCCCCCAGGGCGTCCGCCGCGCGAGCCCGGTGCGGCGCCGGGCCGCGCTAGAGGCCAGGGGGTTCGGGGGCCGACTCGACTTTCGGACGAGGGCCCAGAAGGAGGAGGAGGAGGAGGATGAGGAGGAGGAGAGGAGGAGGAGGAGGAGGAGGAGGAGGAGGAGGAGGATGAGCAGGAGGAAGGGTGATTGATGATGATGCTGCTTCTGATGGTGATGATGATGATGATGATGATGATGATGATGATGATGATGATGATGATGATGATGAGGATGAGGATGAGGATGAGGATGAGGATGAGGATGAGGATGAGGATGATGATGATGATGATGCTGCTGATGATGATGCTGATGATGATGATGATGATGAGGCTGATGATGTTGATGACGATGATGATGCTGATGATAATGATGAGGATGCTGCTGCTGATAATGATGATGATCATTATTATTATTATTCTGACGATGGTGATGATGGTGATGATGATGATGATGATGATGGTGATGCTGATGATGGCGATGATTATGCTGATGTTGTTGATGATGATGATGATGATGATGATGATGATGATGATGATGATGATGATGATGATGATGATGATGATGATGATGA